AGCATAGAATTTTCGATCTTCCCACCTCAGCTTTACAAATAATGTCCGAATCCAGGCTGACACAAACTAGTGAAATTCTTCTTTACCAATCACAGCAATGGAAGGCACCAGAGAATATGGCATAGTGTGGCTCTGATGGATTCCTGGTTTTCTAATGCCTCCTTCTTCGGCCTCTCTGATCCTGCCATGTGACTCCTCCTGACAGCTTGGCAATGCTTCCCCCCACTCTGCATAGGTGAGCATGATCCCAGAACTCCTCTTTCTAGGCAGCTAGTTACCTCTGGCCCTGTCTCCTGGGCCTGCCAGCTCTGGGAACACAGACTTCAGCTTCTTGCTGACGCAGGACACAATCTGGCATGTGTGGCATGACTAGGCTTTTAGGGACCCTGTTTTCCTGTGTTCTAGTCTTTTCCCTGTTGTCCCAGGATGCTCTCTCCCACAGTCTCTGTCTTCCTTACCCACAAATAAGTATCCTGCCAGGGGATTCTATTCTCTGCCCCTTGCAGTCCATGTTCCCTGCTTCTCTCCACCCCAGGTCACCCTGGGGTGACACTGCGGCCGCTGCAGCCCACCCCAGCCTTGAGATGGCTGCTGCACTGGTTTTACCAGCCAAGGCATGCATTTTGTTCTCCCAGACCATTGGAGTGCAAAGCAAAAGCTACATGGGGCACAGTGCAGGTGGCAAGGTGGCGGCTACTGCTGTGAGTGTGACACACATGTGGGTGACAAGAACTTGGTGCCAAATGGTGCCACCTGTGTCCATGATTGCGACTCAGTATGGCTACTGGTGTGTGGATGGATACCTACTGCTTGGCACAGCCTGGTACCCTGAACCTAGCTGCAGCTGCTGGGGTTGGGGTGAGAGGTAAACAAAGGTTGGCACAGGTCCCTGTTCATGTCGCCCCAGTCTCAGGGTGGCCCACAATGGGGCTATGTGCTGGCTAGGCTTGTTATATGTCACATTGACACAAGCTGGAGTCATCTCAGTGGGGGAACCTGGACTGGGAAATTGCCTCCATAAGATTGGGCCAAAGGCAAACCTGTAGGGCATTTTGTTTTCTTTCTTTGTGGGGGGTGGGTGGGGGGAGTGGTTTAAGACAGCATCTCACCATGTAAGTCTGGCTGTCCTGGAACTCACTATGTAGACCAGGCTGGCCATGAACTCACAGAGATCCACCTTACACCTAGCCTGCTATGTACCGAGAGGAAGGAAAGAGACAACACTTATGGTCCCAAAGATTTAATTAAATCCCCGAGTAAGTGGTCACTGATCTATCAGGACTGCAGGACAAGGACTCAGGAGCTTTGTTCCTCCTACAGCTCTGAGCAGGGGCAGACGTGGGGGGGTATAAGCGTGAAATCCACAGGCATTTGTTGCCAAGTTACAGTTACAATTTTCACCAATCAGGACTTAGAGACTGGGGGCTTCCTTGAATGCTCCATCATTGTCAACCGATACACAGTGCAAGCCTCCTAGTGCAACCAATCAGATTCATTTGTTCCTTTTGTTCTTAGAGAACTAAAGATGCATAATGACTATTTCTATGGTGTAGGGAGGAGGTTGGTCAGCCACTGGCAAGTTCTCCGCTCCCCTAGGACTTGGGAACCTGAACTTTATTTCATCCTACAGATAAAATGAGTCAGAAGTCAAAATGGCAGCACTCAGGCCAAGGTGCTTTTGCCTGCTCCCTTCAATCCGATTGCCTCTGTCTCTCTAGTGCTCTTATTTAGTAACTATTGGAGGAGGGCCCAGCCCATTGTAGATGGTGCCACCCCTGGGCTGCTGGTCCTGGGTGCTGAAAGAAAGCAGGCTGAAGCCAGACTTAATGCTGCATGCCTTTAATCCTAGCACTGGGGGAGGCAAAGGCAGGCAGATCTTGAGTTCAAGGACAGCCTGGTCTACAGAGTGAGTTCCACGACAGCCCGAGCTACATAGTGAGACCTACTCTCAAAAATAAAACAAAACAACAAGAAGAAGGAAGGAAGGAAGGAAGGAAGGAAGGAAGGAAGGAAGGAGAAAGCAGGCTGAGCAAGCTATAGAAAGCAAGCCAGTAAGCAGCACCCCTCCATGGCCTCTGCATCAGCTTCTGCCTCCAGCATCCTGCACAGGCTTCCCTCAGCAGACTGATTCAGGACACATAAGCAGATGAACCTGTCCTCCCCGAGGTACTTTTGGTCATGGTGTTTCATCATAGCAATAGTGACTGACCCTCACTAGGACAGAATCCTAGATTTCATCCCCAGCTCTGACCAAAGTAAAAACAGTAGTAGTTGGTATTTGTATTATCACCTGCCATATACTATGGAAGGAAGTCAGAAATGGGTGAGTTTGCTCAGTGGGTAAGGCAAGTCTTACTGCCTCAGTTCACTCGGTAGGATCCATATGACGAACAGACTGTCCATAGCTGTCATTTAACCTTCACACCGGCACCATGCCATGCATGCACCGACAGCCAAATAAATAAATAAATAAATAAATGTTTAAGAAAAAAGAAAATCCACTCTTTAACTCTAAGTGGGCTGGAATGATGGTTCAGCAGTTAAGAATATGCTTGAAGTTCTTGCAGAGGAACTGGAAGGCAAAGACAGGTGGAGCTCTATGAGTTCAAGGCCAGCCTAGTCTACAAAGCAAGTTCCAGGACAGCCAGGACTGTCACACAGAGAACAGTCTCAAAAAACAAGACCAAAAAAACTATTAAAGTATATTGAGTTGTGCCTAGCATAAAGTGTTTAATAAACAATTTAGATAGGAAAAAAATATGAAACAGGTTATTATCAAGACATAGATAAGAGAGATGAAACAGATCACTACACACACACACCAAAGCTTCTTTTAGGAACATGTATAAGTTGGAAATGAGGACCATGGCCCAGAGACTTTGCTCACCTAAGTGAGAATAGCAGTGAACTGGGTAGAGGGCTATGAGTTTGTCTAGGGTCCCTCATTAACTCCCTTTCCTGAGGGCTACACAGGGGCCAGTGTCCATCTTCCCCCTTACCCCCAGAGTAATTAGGGTGACACCTCACAGCCTTGGAGGACTGATACTGTGGGGAGGCCTAACGGCTGCCAGGCCAGCCCAACAGCTTAGGAAGGACTTTCCCATTGTTGCAACGAGTAAGAAGAAAGGGAGAAAGCTGGGAGAGATGGCTCGGCAGTTAAGAGAATTTGCTGCTCTTCCAGAGATCCTGAGCTCAAGTCTCAGTGTTGAGTAATGGCCTTAGGTCATAGGAATTGAATTGGGCTGTCCTGGGCAATAACCCTTAACTATAAAGAATGACTTAGCCCCAGCCTGACCTTCTGCTCCACCTGCACGCTGCCCGCCTGACCTTCTGCTCCACCTGCACGCTGCCCCCCACCACAGCACCTGTAACTTGTAACTTCCGGGTAGCTACCTATGTATGTGTATATGTATATGCACACATGTCCCCTAGCCCCTCTAAATGCACTCAGCCTTCATCCCATGGGAATGTTGGGGCTCTTTGCTGGTGTCTGTTGAAAATGAGTCTGTCTGCCTCTGCCTAATTTTTCTTACACTCAGCACTCATGAGATTCACAACGGCCCGTAGCTCCAGCCTCATGGACTGACCCTCTCCTTTGGCCTCCAAGACACCAGCCTGTCCATGTGTTCACATACACACATGAGAGAGATGGCTCAATGGTTAAGAGCACCGGCTGCTCTTTCGGAGGACCTGGGTTCCATTCCCACACCCACATGTTGACTCACTACCATCCGTAACCCCAGTTCCAGAGGAACACACACACACACACACACACACACACACACAAATAAAAGACTCTTGTGGTTGTGCACACCTTTAATCCCAGCACTGGAAAGGCAGAGGCGGCACACAGATCTTTGGAGTTCCAGGTCAGTCTAGTCTACATTGCCTTTTCCCAAATTTTGGAAGTTAGGGAGCTGGAGAGATAGCTCTGCAGTTAAGAGCACTAGCTCTCCTTCCAAAGTTCCTGAGTTCAATTCCCAGCAACTTCACAGCGGCTCACAACCATCTATAATGGAATCTGATGCCCTCTTTTGTAATGCAGGCTTATGTGTAGACAAAACACTCAATATATAAAAACAAATAAGTAAAAATAAAATGTTTTAATAAAAAAAAAAATCTGGCAATCAGACATGAACCAGCATTCCTCAGGAACTTATGATACTGGTTCTCAACTTCCCAAAAGAGTCACTTCCCTTAACTCTGGCAAAAGGGAAGGGACTATGGCTTCCTGTGGCACATTATCAGCAAAGCAAGGCCCACCATGCTGGCCTTCAGGCTCCCTCAGTACCACAAGGCTCACGGCGACACATCATCCTAACCCTTCCCACCCCTCCCCTCCCCTCAGCTCCCTCCAGCTCACAGGCTTCCCTCCCTCGGCTACTCACTCGCTTCTCATGCTCTGTACGCTCTGCTCCTTCTCTTACTGTTTTCTCTATTCCCTATCCCCTGCTATCCTGCGCTCTCGCAGACAGCCCTAGCCATGTTCAGTCTTTTTTCCCTCTGTTCTGGGCTCTCCTAGATGCCTCTGGCTGTCCTCTCCTATCTACAGTAAAAATGTTCCCCCTTAGCCACACCATGGCGCAGTCACGTCGTCAGCCCCTAAAATAATAAATCTGTTATTAAAACTCTGTTCGTCCCTTCCCAATGTCCTTTTGGTGACCCACAGATTCGAAACCTTCGCTCTCCGTCCTCCCTGGACCCTGACTGTCTCCTCCAACTCAGCCGGAGTCTAACCGCTCAGGCCCCTCAGTTCCCTGGATTCGGGTTCACCCGTCTCCAGAGCGGCAGCCGCTCAAGGGCATCCATCCTCCTTAGAGTGGACCCGGACGCCGACGGCCACGCCCCCACCCCGCCCCAAGCCGCCGTGACGTGTGCTTCACCAACCAATCGGATGCGGCAGCACCGGAACGCAGGAGGCGGGACCTCTGGCGGGCGCGGCCGTTGCTCCGCCCTTTAACTTCCGGAGACTGTGTGTCCGGGCGGTGCTCCCGGCGGATTTGCGGCGGCGGCCGGCGACCAGGCGGTCATGAGTCGGCCCAGTCGGCTGCAGAGGCAAGTTCTGAGCCTGTACCGAGAGCTGCTGCGCGCCGGGCGGGGAAAACCGGGCGCCGAGGCACGGGTGCGAGCCGAGTTCCGGCAGCACGCCAGCCTCCCGCGCTCCGACGTGCTGCGTATCGAGTATCTGTACCGCCGGGGACGGCGCCAGCTGCAGCTGCTACGTTCCGGCCACGCCACGGCCATGGGTACCTTCGTGCGCCCGCGGGGCCCGACTGAGGAACCCGGCGACACGGCAACCCCAGGGATCACGCTGGACGGTAGCGATAGTCCCTGTGAAGGCACAGGGGCACGAGAGACGCGATCCGACAGACGGTGACAGACCCAGAGAAGGGCCCCTCCGGACAGTTTGGGGGAAGGTCGGGAGCTCATCTGCTGGAAAGTGAGATAGATGTCTTGAGAGGCAGCCGAACTTTCTTGATGCACAGTGAGAGATCAGACACTCCCTCGCCAAGAAGGTTCTGGGCATGCAGTGGCACCGGCCGGCTGCACCATGTATGCTGTTCACCCAAAGTCACAAGAGGGCACAGACTCATCACCTCCTCCCCACGGACGAATGGGAGCCGAGATGCCTCTCTTGACTTCTGAGAACACACCCACCCCGCGCTCTTGAGGGCCTGCCCTTTGTTGTTTCTGACGTGGAGAAAAGCAGACTTTCACCTGAGCAAGTTTAATAAAATACCCCGATGAACCGTGAGAAACTCGTAGTTGGGTTTGGAAAACCGTTGTTCCACTCATTGTGACAAACCAGGATTGATTATAAGGGCGGGTTTACCGTAAGTAGCCAAAGACTCCCGGAGAATCCCTCCTGGGTGGGTCTAAGAGGCAGTTCCTGCTCCTGTTGGCCCTCCTCGGGATTCTTGCATTAAGGGAATAAATGTGAGATGTGTTCACTGTCTTGTCAGTTGTCCTTAGTGGGGTTTTTGCTTTTTGTTTCTTTTGAGACAGGGTCTTGCTATGACGTAGCCTAGGCTGATCTCGGCATTGAGCTGCTTCTGCCTCGGCCTCTAAATTCTGGGAGTAGAAGCATGCCCTACCATGCCAAGGGTGGAGAGGCAGGTGGGAACAGAAGGGGAGGAATGTGGGGCCCCAGCTGAGGCTCGTGTGACAGAAAAAGAGGCTGTGACACTGTTTACATCTGGCTGTTACCTCAGCTGTGTTAGCCCTCACCATGGGCTGTTAGCTACCTGTCCATCTCTTAGCCTCAGCTTTGTTCATCGACATGATCTTGGTTGGTTTAGTTTTTGTTGTCTTTGAGACATAGACTCATGGAGCCCGGGCTGGCCTCGATCTGGCCATGTGAGGGATGATGGCCTGCAGCTCCTCCTGCCACTACCTCCAGGACACTAGGACACAGGCATGTTTCTACCACAACACATCTTGGTTGGTTGTGTACTTTGTGGTTCTAGGCATGAACCTAGCTAGGACCATGTGCTTTGCTAAGCAAGTGCTCTAACCACTGAGTCCACCTGCCCTTGGTGCCATGAGCTACGCAGAGACACCTTGTCTCAAAAAATAAAAAAAAAGTAAATAAGAAAAGAAGAAAGGGCCAGAGAGATGGTTCAGCAGACAAAGGAATTTGGTGCCAACCAAGCCTGACAAGCTGAGTTCAAATCCTAGGGCCCACACTGTAGAAAATGAGGACTAACTATTAACGATTTGTCCTTTGATATTCACATAGATGTATGCAAACATAAATCAATACAATCAATAAATGTATTTAGAAAGACAGGTCATAACAACAGATTCTCTGATACAACCCTCAGCTACTGGTTTGTACTCCATGCTTAACATGGAATCTCCTAGAAGTCACCGATTCCCAGACCCTTAGTACCCACTTTGCCAATTTCCAGTACCCATTTCAGTTTCCTTTGAAGGCACACTGGCTTCCTGTTTAGCCTCCATGATCCCAGCAGTGCTGACTGGGGCCCTTGGGTAGGGTAGCCTAAGCCAGAGGAACCCTGCCTGGGACTTGAGCATGGAAGTTTAAAGGGACAGTGATCCTACTGGCTGCTAAACTGACAGGCAGTCTGGCCACTAGGGTTTGAAGAAAAAGTGGGGTGGAGGTTGGAATTTGAGATCTAGCCATGAATTTCTGTTACCCATACTAACTCGCATTCCCGTTATAGTCAGGGAGGACCTGGCTTCAGCCACTCGCTCCTGTGTGGCCTCAGCCTGACTTCTGCCCCTGGCTGCAGTGCGCCTTGTCGGGGATTGTGGGAATGGAAGGAGGTGTGTGTTCTGAGTGCGGCTTGGAGACCAACACCCGGACGAGGAGCTGTGTTCAGTGTACATCTAGGGTCAGCACAGGACTCCGCCTCATTCTTGTATTCCATTCTGCCCCCATCTCTTCCCCGGTGCCTTAGGTTTGAGATTAGACTGCAGCCTGGTGTTGTCAAGACCCCAGGAATCTGGACTAGAGCTACAGCCCAGTGGTGGAGCATTTGTCTGCGTGTGCCAGGCACTGGGTTTCATTCCCAGCAGCACAGAACGGAAATATTAGCTAGGCCTGTAATCGCAGTCCTCTGGAGGTTGAGGCAGGAGGACTGGGGGTTCAAAACCACCCTGGACTCTGCAGTAAGAGCCTACCAGGGAAAACTATCTCTCAGAAAAAAGGATGTCTCACAGTTCTGAGCTAGTGATAACAGCCTGCACCTCTCCCTGTAGAATATGGGAACATCTCCAGAACGAATGTGAGACAGCATGGGTGTTGGCAGCTCACCCACAGCGCCTGCCTCTAACTTCCTGTGGCAGGTGCCATCTGTGATATTCCCTTTCTCCCTCAGCCTCCAGAGACGTGTGGTCACAGGAAGGATAGACAGACAGACAGGAAGTATTAGGGAGCCCGCCTTCCCAGGAAGACCTCACAGGGGAGGCGTGGAAGCCTGGAACAAGTCGAGTGTCCTCCACACGGTTTTCCAGGGTCCCAGCCATTTGGCACTCTGGGTACCGATAGCAGCTGCCAGCTTTCCCCCTTTCTGGGAACCACATCCCCATTCTACCACTTTGTCACCTCTCAAGTCAACAGCGTTGGCTTTAATGTTTGTATTACGATCCAGGGAATCCTAAGGTAGTCAGTCTCCTTCAGTTCTGTGTTCTGCCCTCAGGGACCGGGGTAGAGAAGGGGCCGTTGAAACCTATCCAGACTGCCTGTTACCAAGTTCCCAAGCACCCAATACTCAGACATCTTTGGAAAGCAACCATTTAATACGCATGTCTGGGCCATGGACTCAGACTGGAGGGAGACCATTGACATAGCTGAGCACCAGGTAGGGCGTCCTGGCCAGTCGGGCATGGGGACAGCAGGGGACCCCTGACAAGGGCAGCAACAATGTGGCACCCACCAGAAGGAAGAAGAGAAGAAGAAAGAAGGTGGTCAGGGGCCGTCTGGGTGCAGAAGCAGGGACCCTGAGAAGAGACACGGTATCATCAGCAAGGGTGGGCCACCACCATGGTCCCTGTCGCCCACACCCTAGCCCCTTTCTCACCCATGATCCACCTCTAGCATCACATCTGGTGGACTGGGAGATGCTTGTCTCTTCTTGCCCTGAGGGTAGACAGGAGCCAGCAGCAGAATGAACGGCAGTGACACTTAAGTGGGGACATTCTCTCTCTACCCTAGACCCATAGGGCTAGCTTTATTTTTCCTCTCCTGAACCACACATGATAGTGTGGCTGGTGTCTGCACCTGTCCTTCATGCATCCATTGCCCTTTTCCCGATAACATTGATGGATGGTGCGTGCGTGCGTGTGTGTGTGTGTGTGTGTGTGTGTGTGTGTGTGTGTGTGTGCCTTCACACTCACACCTTCAGGGTTACATTAAACTGATTTCCACTTTCCCCTCTTCCACGATGGGGCACGTGACTCAGACCTGGCCAATCAGAGCACTCTGACTAGTTCAGCATGCAGCCCATGACCCAAGCTGGACAGGTGGAGTCAGGCCCAGGACTTTGGCTACTGCTAGTAGGTCAGAGGTCATAGGGGTAGGTTAGTAAAGCAGGGAAAAGGAACTGTAGCATCTGGGGCTGGAGAGGAGGCCAAGGGACAAAGATCGAGCCCTGATACATTTTAGGTCCTGAATTCATAGCGTGTGTGTGTGTGTGTGTGTGTGTGTGTGTGAGAGAGAGAGAGAGAGAGAGAGAGAGAGAGAGAGAGAGAGAGAGAGAGAGAGAAAGAGAGAGAGTAAATATGGGTTGGGTATCTTTTACTTACCATCAACACCCCCTATGCTCCTAGCTCACCTGAGGCTTCCGGAGACGCCTTCGATGGTGAGCTGCTAAATGTTTCCGGTGGCTGAGCCCCAATGTGAGCAGGTCCTGTGGGAAGAGAAAGGTTCGAGGTTCTTGGAAGACTGGTAGCATGGTTATGGAAGGGTCTGGAAGGAGGTGCCACAGAGATGAAATTATGCAGGTACACACGGATCTCATGGGAGGGACAGAGGGGCAGAGCCAAAGAAACCAAGAGGAGAGAAACTTTATTTATTCATTCACTCAACAAATATTTAATGAGTGTCTATTACACACCAGGCACAACTCTAGGAGACATGGTGAGGATGGAAATGGGCAAAATTCTAGTCCCTGTGGAGCTTAACATTCTACCCAGAGAGGTCAAAAATTAACCAGTAAATGCGTCATACCAAGCTGTGGTAAGGAATATCAGGAAATAATGGTTGGGAATGCTAAGTTGGGTCGCAGCAGCTCTCTGAAGAGGTGGCCTGTAAGGAGGCAGGACTGTAAAGGGAGAGGTGGGCTGGGCATGCGCCTAGGGCTTAGGTGGGAGAGAGGCGGGGGGTGTTTGGAGGAGGGTCAGGATTGTGTCTGTGGCCCCGGGAAGAGCAGAATGAGAGGACAAAGAGGAAGGAGGGTAACCGAGTTCATGGAGACAAGGACAGGCAGAGAGCACAAGAGAATCATGATGACTTTCATGGTGGACATAGGTGGGCATGTTAGTGCATGCCCATAATCCCAGCACTTAACAGACTAAGGCATGATGATTGTGAGTTCAAGGCCAGCCTGCACTGCATAGCTTGAATCTGTCTAAGACAGAGAGAGGGAGGGAAAGAGAGAGACTTAGAAGGGGAAGCAGAAAGGGAAAGCCCTTCTAGAAGCTTCAGAGAGGCCACACTATGGTACCCAGCCAAGTAGGGGGGCTGATCTCACCTCAAGGCTCTGTCCACTGCCCTGGGGTCCCCTGTAGCCACACAGCTCACAGGGAATTGCTGGTATCCGAGATATCTTTTGCCCTGAGGGCCCAAGACCCCCAACATCCCCTGCTGGGTCCCATTCCAATTCTGCAGGAGTCAGGGTGGTACTAGGTGCCCAGGGCCCCCAGATTCCACCAGGTGCTGGCCCGTCTGAATCTCCCTCAACTTCCAAGTCCTGGTCCAGGAGGTTGGCCTTCTCAAGCACCTGGAGCAGAGGATAGAGGTCATGGGAGTTGGAAAATTATGGCCTGGGCTGGGGGCTAGCAGGGCAGGCCCTACCAAGCTATAGCTGATCAGCTGGGCCTGTAGCTGCCAGAGCCGTTGGAAGATGGTGTCTCGGTGGGTTCCAAGGGCCCTTAGGACCTGCTCCAGAGATGCCCAGGCCCTGGGCTCACTCCTTTCTGCCAACCCCTCACCAAATGCCAGCAATGCATCCACACGCTCGGCTGCCCCTCGTAGCTCTGCCTGTAGGGCCTGAGACACATGGTTAGACATTTTCGCCCA